CCCACGGCAGTCCTTCACAGCAGGGCGGTCGGCAGGCACTTCGCAGTGTCCCGTAACCAGTGGGTACCTCCTGCCCTCCACAGGCAGGCTCAGCCCCCCCCGATGCCACCACATCACCATCCAGGGATGGCCCTTTCCCTCCCCTCTGCAGCACCCAGCTCTGCTCCCAAGGTGTCCCCAAGCCAAAGACGTTTGCAAGTGGTTCCTGACGTGACTGGCCCGTGCGTGCTCTGGGTTTGAGGGAAAATGGAGCTCTGAGGCAGAGCCCTGCCTCATTAGAACACCCCAGCACCGTGTCTCTGGCACGGGCAGGTCCCGAAGAGAAGCACCACCATCATCCAAGGATGTGACGCAGCAAGTTGGACACTTGCTTTGCTGTGCCATGCTGCAGTGCTCTGAACAAGGGCTGGTGCGCCCAACGGCTCGTCTATTTTTTCCTCATTCTCTATCAGTTGGTCTAACAAAAGCAATTACCCACACCACCTTGCCCAATTTACTGTGACACAGCCTCCCTTGGGAGCAGTGAGGGGAAAACGAGAGTGAAAGGCGGTGACTGGGGCAATCAGAACAGCTATAACACAGATGCCACAGAGCAGGGTCCGCACCTGTAGTGCCATGAAGTAGCAAGGTGCCAATTAGCCCTGATGGGACCATACAGCACCTTGCACACCTGGGCCGCAGGGGCTGCTGCAGTACAGGAGGGCAGCAAGGGTTGTCGTACACCTGCCAGGGGGATGTGGAGCATATAGGTGCCACACAGCAGTCCCTGCACATGCAGTAAAGCCTGCCTGTGTCCCACCTGTGCCCATCCAGGCAAACCTGCTATATCAGACTTATTTAAGCCAGGCTACAGCAGGCAGCAATGGCTGCACGAGACCAGCTCCAAAATCCACTCAAGGCTGGGGCTTTGCCTTCATGTCTTCCGACCTCGTGAAGCCCTGCCATTGCAGCATATGAGCAGCTTGTGTTTCATACAGCCAGGCCCCTGCGCCCATGCAGGTACAAGCACGCTGCAGACGCAGCTCCAGCTGTTGCCCACCAGCACTCCCCAAACTCTGCAAGGTGGTGGCAAGGTGAACATGAGTCGTCCTGCACATGTGTCCTAGGTGAGGAGCGTCACACACACACCCTGTCACCAAGCCCCGAGCAGATCAAGTCCATGGATTAGACAGAGACTGTGAAACGAAGACCCACCAAGGCAGAAGGAAATCACATCCTCATGCAAGGAGGGGCATTTTGGAGAAAGGAATTTGTCCACGAGCAGCGAGCACTGGATATGCAGTACATCAGTGTTGTTACGGGTTCCCACCATTCAGGTCCTCCACATCTGCTGACCAGCCTGGGGACATGATTTCATCTGAATGTCTCAGCGTCTCTGCAGGAAAAGGGGATGATGCTACAGGGCCCCCTAAGCACTGCTGCAGGATCACTTGCACAGCAACATTTGGGCACCAAACGGAAGATGCAGCTGGTGCATAAAGCCATGCACATCGCTCTGACAGCCTGGGGTGCAGGGAAGTACCGGGCTGTGCAAAGTGCAAGAGCGGGTGCAAGCCCAGCCCCACGCTCACCCTGTTCTGCCAGCTTTATTGCCTCCTGCATGAGGTACAAGAGGTGCTCAGTGAACAGAAGGAACTCACCCAAACGAAGCAGGTTTTATCCCAGATTGACACGTCACTGACCAAGCACAGCTATCCCTGTCAGGCCAGGGCAAAACATGGACCAGGACTTACTGCCATTTGCTGCTAAGCCCTGTGGCTTCCTCCTGCTCTGCAGCGCAGGTACAGCTGCTGTCCTGACAACTGCCCACAGCTCCTCCCTGGCTGTGAAACCCCACTACCTCACGCCCCAGAGTAGGACCGGAGCAGGCAGGGTCCTGAGGAAGGTTTTTCCAGTGGCATCCGACCATCTCGCAGGGGAGACCACGGCTGCCCTTGCAGCGGCGCTGGGCTCAGCTAGCAGCAGAGTGGGCAGATGTGGCACCGCAGCCCAGACAAGCTGCAGGACAAACAGCAGCAGCAGGAAACACCACAAGACTGCAAAAAGTCTGAACTTCAGAGCAGCTGGGACCACACAGACCAGGCAGCCTTCCCAAAAGGCTGTTGTTTAGCCCAGCCCCTGCTCTACCCGCCCCATCTCCCACTCCCCAGCTGCAGGAGCCTTGGGAATCTGCGGGGGCCATTCCCAGTTGCTGGGAAATCTGGCTACTGAAACCATGACAGCATCAGCTGGAAATGCAGCCCCTCCCTGGGCTCTCCAGCAGCTAACACCATCACCATCAGGCATTTTGTCATCCCCGCTGCCTGCAGGATGGTGCCCGGCATGAGCAGCCCCCACATCGCAGGCCTGGGCCCCCACCGGAGGAGAGGAGCTCTGGGAAGAGGCATGCAAAGCGCCACGTTCGTTACAGTGAGATACGGAGGTACATGGGGAAAGCACCGGCTTTGCCTCAGCTCTGGGGGCCAGCTGGTCACCTGGACCATCTTCATCACCACCAGGGGGTGGCCCCATGAGGGCCAGGGAGGGACACGGCACCTTGATGCACAGCAATGCCCAGTGGTGAGGGAACAGGGCACGAGAGCTCTGCCAGGGCACATCAGCATCTTTTGCCTCATCTGTGTAAAAAAAAAAAAAAGGGAGATCGGGAGATCTTTAACCCCTACACAATGAATCACAGAGGAAAACCATCCCAGCAGAACTAAGTTAATCACAGGGAGGGAGGCCAGAGGCAAGGATGAGTTCCTAGCCTTGCAGCTCTGAGGAATCACTGGAGGGGGCTCTGCTTATCTAGGCACAACCAGAAGAGCCATGGGGCAGAAGTGACAGCTGCCAGCAGAGCTCCTCTGCTCCCGAACTGTGTGGGGAGGGTTCCCTGGCTCAAATCCTGGCCCTTGGCTTCAGAGAGCAGATATCTGGGGCTGGTGGGAGGGAACGAGCAGACCCTGTCCTGGCCTTGCCCAGTTGGCCGAGAGCCTTTGCTTTACGCCAGACACTTGTGGCTGAAGCCACCAGACGCATGTGGTCCTAAGCCTTTGCTCCCTCTGCTATTTGAATTGGATCCCCAGCTCTGACTACTGACGTGTGTCAGCCCAGAGGATTTCTCCATCGTGACGAACTTGGCGAGAGTTCATGGCCAAAATGTCCCTTGGTGACTCAGCTGTGATCTCCAGCTCTTTTCCCTTGTGACTGGGACAAGTTTGTGGAAGGGGACTTGGCAAGGGCCAGGGCTCACTGCTTTTTCCTACTCAAGTTTGATGAAACGAAGTTGAAGGACAGAGACACTTCATGAATCAGAACCATTTTCCCCAAATCAAAATGTTCATCCTCGCTCCTAACCTGGAGCATTCCCAGCACCAAACACCAGCAAATGTGGCTGTAATACGGCAGCTCAAAGCCCTGCCGGTGGCCACACAGGAACCCTACCTTTGCTGGCCACGACAGCGGGCACTTCTCAGCCACCCGCTGTGCCTCCTGCCATGTCCATGGAGCCCCTGGGTTCAGGGTGACCACACTCATACCTCAGGTTTCATTCCCTGTCTGCAGCCAACTGCCAATAGATGGTGAACCTGCAGCCTGATCCTCATGGCTCACCTGAAGAGGAGGTGTCAGTGCAGGCCTGAAGGTACAAGTGCTCCTGAGCAGCGGTCACCAGAGGGACCTGCTTCAAGGGGTCACTCGTGTTCCCATGACATGGCCTGGACTCCCGAGTGACAAGAAACTGCACCTCCTTTCAACCCACCTGCACTGGCAGCCGGAGTTCCTCTGGCAGCTGCACCTGCATCACTGGACATCTGCCTTCGACACCATCACCACACCGACAGTGGCCTTCTAGAGACTGTCCACTGCATTCACCGGGAAAAGCTGTTGAAGAGACACCCAGAGTCTCCACAGCTCCAGAAGCAGCATTACTAGCACTTGGCCAAGATGGGTCAGAAGACAGCACACACCTGCTGCAGGTGCTCCCGATGGTTCTCCTTAACAGCTTCTCCACCCAGACCAGCACACCCCAACATCAGTCTAGTATTTATTTCTTAAAGGGAGTTTGTTAAAACAACTTCATCACAGTGGTTCCTCCCTGCTCACACTGAGGCAGCTCAGCACACAGGGCACTTGGGCTTTGAGTCTCTGGCATCTACTTTTTCCCTTGGCTGTCTCTCAGGAGAGCACAAGGCACCCCAGATAAGGCCAGGCACAGCTCAGGACATTATCTGCCACCAAGAATTTAGGTCTTGACATTTAGAAGGGGCAGGACTTTCAGCACCAGCCTCCAGTATCTGCTGCCAGCTTTTACCATCTAGACCTGGATTTCCTCACAGATCCAGGCAAGGGGCCGAGAACTCGTCCAATATTCAACAGCCAGAAGTCAGCATTTAACAGATTGATTCTGCCATGAAAATTCAGCGGTTAAGCTTCTGAAAGTGTCATGGTTTCACTGCTGTGCCACTAAAACTCCAGCTGAAGCCTCAAAATTCTCTTTCACACCAACATGAGGAGCAGGGTCTCCTGCTGGAGGCCAGTCTGCAGGCAGCACTCATGAGACTGTTCTGCTATAGCGACTGTAAGAGGAAAGCAGCTCCGAACTTAATCTGATGCTGGTGACCTTGAGAACATTGCGTAACCTGCTAAGGCTTTTAAGTAAGATCAGCCAACAGTATCTGAGTCACACAGCCAGACAGGTCGTATTTTCTTAGCTCTGGGGTCAGAACAGCTCTTCAGGAAGAGGGTATCGATGGAAAAATAATTTGTTACTGAAAATACTGCAGGACACATCTCAGATTACCTCTCTCCAGCCCCTCCTCTGCCCGGAGTGCAGCCTATCCAGCCTCAGCTCAGTTGTGGACCTGCTTTTGCCAAGTCATGCAGGCACAGTCCTTGCTGGGCTGCACCTCCTGTTTGCAAGAAATAGACAATTGTGCCTTGTCCTTTAAGTAGCTGCTACTGTTAACATTTTGGTAGTTTAATTTTAGCTTGGGAATTAAATAAAGAACATACACAAGTGATAGGTCCAAATAAACGCCTTTATTTCTCTGTAATAAATACAGCACTATCTGAATTCCGATGTCCCACAGGTCCAACCATTCCTTTCCTTCCCTACTAGTCCAGCAGTGAACTACCACTAGAAGACTCCTGTCCAGTCAGTCTGTTCCCTCCAGCTCATCCCCTGTCCGTCCTTCTGCTCCTTGCAGGCAGCAAGGCTCTACACCACGCTCCTCTTCCCTACAAGGGGGCAGATTCTTCACAGGAGAGAAGAAACACCTACAGGGGAGAAAGCACAGGTTCGGCATTAGGTGCATGTTCCAGCAGCTGGGGTTAATAAAAGCTCTCTTACCTAAGGTGACCAGATGAAGACGTAACTACTGACATCTGCTTTTAACAGGTGCAGCAGGAATTAGGGAATCGAGTAGGGAAAGCAGCAGGCTTCCCACAGCAGCAAGAGAGGAACCTCTAAGAGGATACAGCCTCCTCGCCTTCACAGAGGCACGGTCAGGCTCATTTCTCCTGCCCTTTGCAGTTCCCCTTTCCAGTTCCCTTCTGCATTCCAGGACACAGGAAAAGGCAGAACGGCTTCCTATTTAAAGCCCTGAAGGGCACTATAACCTCAACAGATTGCTTCTGCAACCTTTGAACCCTCTCCTGTGTTCTCCCGGCAGCAGTTCCCTCGCTGCCCCAGCCCTCCTGCGGGGACAGGGCACAGGCTCACCGTTGCTATACTTGCACTGCTTCAGAGCCTCGTTGAAGCCCTCGCACAAGGTCAGGTCTCTCTGGTTGGTAGCACATTCCAGGAACTGCTTCATCTCATAGTGGCAGGGTCCGTAGGGCGACTGCTGGTACGCGGGCTGCTGCTTGGGCTCCTGCAGGCAAGGACCTGGTTAGGGAAGGAGCTCTGGGGGCAGAGGCACCTGCTTCAGTAAACACAGCGGCTCCTTGTCACCTCTCGGCAGGAACAGCCCTGTCACCTTGGGCTGCTCGTACACCCGTCCTTTGCCGCACGGGGCAAGCAGCCCTCGGACGCGCCGGCCGTCCCCGCTCTCCAGGACTGGCTCTGCCTGCCCAGCTCCCGCCGCCCCT